AGATGAATGCTCGTTTATCCAAGCCTAACCTACACAGAGCAAGGCCTGGTAGCGGATGGTCCGCACCCGCACCGGATACGATTTTTCCTTCAGATGTCATGCAGAAGCCGCCCGTTCGATTCGGGCCCGGGCCATTATTCCATCGAGTGTCAACTCCTTTTTTACATGATCCATTTGGTGGCGACGTTGACTTCAATCTTGATCGAAATAAATGCTCGTTTATCCAGTCTCAAAACCTACCAAAACAAGGCCTGGTAGCGGATGGTCCGCACCTGCACCCGATTGTTTCCTGCATAAATGTCATGCAGGAGCCGCCCGTTCGACTCGGGCCTAGGCCATAAGAAACCTTTGGCGTTGCTTTTTTTAACAAAACTTTGGTTATGTATTCTCCACTCACCGTTTCCGAGTTGCGATTCTGCAGATCATTTTAGTTACAGTTCTCTGCAGAGTTTAATCGTCGAACGCAGCAACAAAAGCAGTACAACAACTGGCATTACATTTACAACTCGGTTAGGTTAGGTTTCGATACAGGCTATTAGCTATTAGTGTTTCGTAGGGTAGGTGGGTGGGGCGTAAATCGTAAGTGAGTCGTTATGATGGGAGAAGGATAGCGTAACCGTCCGAGTATAGCGTCAGACTGTAAAGGAGCGTAGCGTAGCGTGTTATAGCGAGAGAAAGAATGGAGGGTGGAATGGAAACAGACTCGACTCACTCGCACCTCCTCCTCACCCCTCCCTCCCAAACCCCCCCTCCTCAAACTATAACTCGGCGTCACACTCCTCGGCCTCTCCCCCCACCCCTCGGCCTCGGCCTCGGGGAGTCGGGGGACACGGACGCGCTGCGCGGGGGGGCGGTATATGCTGACGGCGCGGTGTTGGGACGCGAGGGCGACGCCCCAGGTGCATGCAGCCCGGGGCTATGCGCACCCAACCGCGAGGCAGCGTAGGGGGATACACCCCCGGTGCGTTGGGGTTGAACGCAGCGAGCGCGCGCGGGGGGCCGATGCGGTCGACGGTGAGCGCGGGGAGGGGCTGGATCGAGGGCGGGCGGACGAGTTTCCGGCGTCTACTCGTGGAGCGGGAGGGGTCGGAGGAGGACGCGGAGGGCTCGGCGCGGGAGGAGCGGGAGTGAGATGTGGAGGGCTGGCCCCGGGTGCGAGGTTGGGGGCACGGAGCGCGAGCGGGCGGCGGGCGTGGCCGCGTTTTGGGTTTGGGTTGGGGTTTGGATTGGGGGTGAGTAGAGGCGGGGGCGGGAAGACCATGTCAGCGGAGATGGGCCCACGGAGCATGTGCGCGAGCTTGACCATATTGCGGGGGCGCGCAGCGTGCTCGGTGGCTGCAGACGGCGGGGCGGGCGTGGAGAGGAGCACGCTGAGGGAGCGCGTGAGGATGGAGAGCGAGTCCGCGCTGTCGTGATGATTATATGGGTAATTAGAATTATTGGAGGTCGTCACGTCGTAGGGATACGGGAAGGGAGCGGCGGGGACAGAGGGCTGGGTGAGGGTGAGGACGAGGCGCAGGCGTGTGACGGCGGTGATGGAGTTGCGCTGATTTTTCGGGCGGGGAATCGGGGATCGATGCCGAGTCGATGGAGGAGGAGATGAAGGAGCGAGAGGAGACGGTGAAGACGAGGCTCTTCGACGTCCGTGAGGAGGAGGCGAAGAGCGGCGGGCGCAGGTGAGTCGATGGGAAAGTGAATCGTGATGTACCGCAAAAGTTAAAGCGGAACAATCCGAGCATTGCCACGGTTGCGCCATCAGCGCACCGATTATGGTTCAACGTTTAACCTTGGTTCAAACTTCAACCCTTCTCACTGGCTCTCATCTCGATGATCCTCTAGATTGGCTAGTTTATATTAATTTCGCTACAGACTCATTTCCCGGACTTTCCAGATCCTAAATTTCCTGGCTATTTAGCAATTTTGTTTTCAAAATTTATTTAGTAGTAAGGTTTGGATTTAAATACTGGTGGCACCACACCAAGACACGATACAGATTTCCGGTGAGAAGTCTGTAGGAGCTATCGCTCGATTCGGGCCGGGGTTATACACCTCATCGCTCTTGTTTATTTTCTTTTCATAATATATTATATTTGGGGTGAGGCTGAGGTTGAGTTGAATCGGAAGCTCCGTGCATTGAATTCAACTACTGTATGCGCCCGTTATAACGTCTTCACTGGACATAGGGTGGAAATGCACGGATCGGTGCCTTCGGAAACTGATCCTTTTACTTCTCACCTTGATTAAAATGGGAGTAGCGGACCAACTGGATGCAGAAAAATCCACCCCATCGGTCCTCACAGATACCACAAACCGACCACATGCCTCTGGGACGATTCGAGCCTCCGCTTTCTCGTTAATTCAAAAACTCTCCCTATGTAATCGACCACCATGGTCCACAAAGGCGTTCTTCCTCCTTTCTCGCCCTGACATGTGTGTGTGGAGTTCCTAATGACCTTCACTCCACAGCTATTCCCCAAGAGCATTCCACACCATCATCAAGAACTTTACCTCGGCGGAATATATTATGAACCCCGGCCTTGAACCTTCGCCTCGTCTGTCTTCCAAAAATACACAGGAAAACAAATCACCATGCCTCCGGGAGGATTCGAACCTCCGCTTCCTCGCTACGCCGTTTCCCTAGCTATGCAACCAAGGTGACCACCATAGTCCACGAAGGCTTTCTTCCCTCCCCTTCTGGCCCAAAGTGTAGCTAAGAACAGGTTTAAATAAACAGGGAATAGGGCGTACACATACAGTGCCGGGAGGCTTTGACGCGCTCTTCTAGTCCAGCAGGGCTTTTAGAAACTCCTATGCTCCTCGCCGTCAGATTCAAATGCTATGGATATCTAGGAAGTTCAGGGTAGGTATGAAAAAGGCCCAGTCGCGGATGGTCCGCACCTACACTAGATGATTTCGTTGGTATGGTGATCCATCTGCAGGAACACGTTTTTAACTCGGGCACGGGCCATATAAAGGTTTCGGTCATGCCTTTGTGCATAACGTATTTGTGGCGGGGATGTTGAATCTTAGAGTTGGATTCGAGCCAAGAACCTGCGCCCGATCATAGGCCATCATTTGACAACCATACGCAGGAGCCGCCCGTTAGATTCGGGCATTGGCCATGAAAGTCTCCTCTCTTCTTTTTTATATATATTTCATAGCATGGTTGAGTTTGAGTTGAATTTCAATAGCTCCGAACCAAGCAGAGCAAGGCCCGGTAGCGGATGGTCCGCACCTGCACCAGATGGTGGCTTGTGCAAGTATTATCACTGCAGGATCCACCCGTTCGATTCGGGCTCGGACCATATACATCTTGTGTTCTTGCCTTTTTGCATGATTTATTTGGTGGTGGTGAGGGTGAGTTTGAGTCGAATTAGATGCTGTTTATTGAAGTTCAGAACGCGCCCTGTCTTCAAGGGGGTGAGTGAGACATAAATAGATGCATTCTCACATGCCCCCGGGGAAGTCGAACCTCCTCCTTCTCACCTTGATTACATGAGAGTAGCAAAGCAACTTGGTGCAGAAAATTAAAGAACTCCAGCCTTGAATCTTCGCCTCGCGTGTCTTCAAAAAAATCACTGCATTCAGGCGGCTGATAGCCGAGGCCCTGTGTAGCTGATGCGAGCCGATGCGAGCTGTGGCTATCTATAGTTTAGGTTTGGCTATTTATGGTAGCCATGGTCATCTAGACGCAACCGTCTAGCTGATGCGAGCTGATGGCTACCTCGCGTAGCCATAGCGTGGGTAGCCGGGCGCTTAAAGCTCGGCAGACTGTCGCCGCACTCCTCGCCAGACCTCGCCAGACCCTGACGGCTTCCCAGGGCTGGGGAGGACCCGGGAGGTTGATGGAGGTGTGGTTAAGCCGGTTAGCCGCATGTCCACGGCTATATCTGCCGAGGCCGCACTGTGGCTACTGGGCTGTTGAATGCAGTGATACACTGGAAAAACTAAATGCCTCCGGAGGGATTCGAAACCCCTCCTCCTCGTTAAATACTCAATTTACTCAAACGGAATTGAGGCAACCACCATAATCCACGGAGGCGTTCTTATACTCTTCTAGCCGTAATCTATCTAAGGAGTTTTAGAACAGGTAAGATAGGGTCGTGGGTGGTGTTTACCCAGATTCCGGACGTTGCATAGTAAATCTATCGGCCTTTTTCATATATTTATTTCATGTTGAGTGTGACTTGAATATTAGATGTTCACTTCTCAAAGCCCAGAACTACGACACCAAGGCCTGGTGGAGGATGGTCCGCGCCTGTACACGATAATGATAGTGTTACTATGTGCTATGCAGGAGCCGCCTGTTCGGATTCGGCCCGGGCCATAAGGAAGTTTCGTTCGCTTTTTGTATGCTTTATATTCAGTAGAAAGGTTGAGTGGTTGGATTAGTTGCTCGTTTATCCGAGTACTGAATTATGTAGATCAAGGTCGGTAGCGGATGGTCCGCACCTCCACCCGATGTCGGTTCTATGGAGATCTGAAGGAGCCGCCCGTTCGATTCGGGCCTGGGCCATTTCCTTGTTCTTCTGATGATTTTTGCATGATTTATTTAGTAGCAGGGGTGAGTTGTGAATTAGATGCTTGTTTATTCAAGTATTCAATTATATATAACAAGGCCCGGTAGCGGATGGTCCGCACCTGCACTCGATGCATAATCCCTGCTATCAGATTCTGCAAGAATCGCTCGTTCGATTCGGGCCCGGGCCATTGTTCCATCGAGTGTCAACTCCTTTTTGGTGGTGAGTTTGACTCGAATCTTGGTTGAACTAAGTGCTCGTTTATCCAGTCCCAGAACCTACCAAAACAAGGCCTGGTAGCGGATGGTCCGCACCTGCACCCGATGTTAAGCTTCTACCGAGTCTGCAGGATCCGCCCGTTCGATTCGGGCCTGGGCCATTTCCTTGTTCTTCTGATGATTTTTGCATGATTTATTTAGTAGCAGGGGTGAGTTGTGAATTAGATGCTCGTTTATTCGAGTGTTGAATTATGCAGACCAAGGCCCGGTAGCGGATGGTCCGCGTTTGCACCCGATATTGCCTTTGTAGAGCCATCTGCAGAAGCCGCCCGTTCGATTCGGGCCCGGGCCATTATTCCATCGAGTGTCAACTCCTTTTTACATGATTCATTTGGTGGCGACGTTGACTCGAATCTTGATTGAAATAAATGCTCGTTTATCCAAGCCTAACTTACACAGAACAAGGTGTGGTAGCGGATGGTCCGCACCTGCAGCTGCATTTGATAGTTCTCCGTAGAGGTCATGCAGGAGCTGCCCGTTCGATTCGGGCCCAGGCCAGTATGCTTTATGTATTCAGTAGCAAGGCGAGTGGTTCGATTAGTTGCCCGTTTATTCGAGTGTTGAATTGTATAGACCAAGTCCCAGTAGCGGATGGTCCGCACTTCCACCCGATATTGGTTCTATGTAGATCTGAAAGAGCCGCCCGTTCGATTCGGGCCCGGGTCATCGTTCCATCTTGAGTCAATTTTTGCATGATTTATTTAGTAGCAAGGTTGAATTGGATGCCCGTTTATTCGAGTGTTGAATTATATAGAACAAGGCCTGGTCGCGGATGGTCCGCACCTGCACCCGGTGTGCAAAGCATCAGATTCTGCAGGAGTCGCCCGTTCGATTCGGGACCGGGCCGTAAGGAACTTCCTGTATTGCCTTTTTGTATGCTTTATGTATTCAGTAGCAAGGTTGAGTGATTGGATTGGTTGCTCGTTTATTCGAGTGTTGAATTATGCAGACCAAGGCCTGGTAGCGGATGGTCCGCACCTGCACTAGATATTATCTTTACAGAGTCAGATTCATCTGCAGGAGCCGCCCGTTCGATTCGGGCCCGGGCCATTCCTTTCTTGCTCTTTGTTTTTGCATGTTATTTAGTACTAGCGATTTATTTAGTAGCAAGGTTGAATTGGATGGCCGTTTATTCAAGTATTGAATTATATATAACAAGGCCCGGTAGCGGATGGTCCACGCCTGCACCCGATAATGATAATATTGTGTCTGCAATGCAGGAGCCGCCCGTTCGACCCGCGGCCGGGCGCTCAATCTTATGGATAATATTTCTTTTTTATATTCTGAATTCCTTCGCTGGCGAGGTTAAGTTTGACCTGCATCGTAATAGAGTTTGAGATGAATGCTCATTTATCCAACCCCAGAACTACACAGAGCAAGGCCTGGTAGCGGATGGTCCGCACCTGCACCCGATTATTTCCTGCAGAGATTCTGCAGGAACCGCCCGTTCGACCCGGGCCCGGGCCATAGTGGTCTTTGCATGTTCCCTTTTTTTCTCCTCTGTATCTCACCCTTCGGTTTTCTTTTCGCTCTGCATCACGCACCCATCTACAGCGCGAACCCTCGAACGCAAGCAGTACAACAACTGGCATTACATTACATCTACAACTCGGTTAGGTTATGTTTCGATACAGGCTATTAGCTATTAGTGTTTCGTAGGGTAGGTGGGGCGTAGCGTAAATCGTGAGCGAGATTCGTATGTGAGAGTCGGGATGCATAATGCAACGTCCGTGACAGAAGGAATGGAGGGTGGAATGGAAGCAGACTCGACGCACTCGCACCTCCTCCTCACACCTCCCCCCCACCCCTCCCCCTCCTCCTCAAACTATAACTCGGCGTCACGCTCCGCGCCCGCTCCCCCCACCCCCTCCCTCTTGACCCACTCGACCTCGGGGACTCGGGGCTTACGGACGCGCTCCGCGGGGGGTCCGCGTACGCCGACGGCGCGGGGTTAGAACGCGACGCCGATGCCGACGCCCCGGGTGCATGCAGCCCCGGGCTATGCGCACCCAACCGCGAGGTAGGCACCCGCGAGGTAGGCGTAGGCGAATGCACCCGCGGCGCGTTGGGGTTGAACGCGGCGAGCGGGCGCGGGGGGCCGATGCGGTCGACGGTGAGCGCGGGGAGCGGCTGGATCGAGGGCGTGCGGACGAGGTGGAGGGCTCCGCGCGCGAGGAGCGGGAGTGCTGTCGTGGTGATTACGGGTAATTTGAATGAGATGTCGTCGCGGCGTAGGGATATGGGTAGGGAGCAGTGGGGACAGTGGGCTGGGTAAGGATGTAGTCTCTTATAAACAGACACTACAACAATTCTCGCTCGTACCTCGCGTGTTGTAGTAAGGATGAGGACGAGGCGCAGGCGGGTGACGGCGGTGATGGAGTTTCGCACGTTGGGCGCGAGCGAGAGCTTCGCCGCGCTCGGCGGTGGTGGCGGTGGGGTCGGGCTCCGCGATTTTTCGGGCGGGAAATCGGGGATGGATGCCGAGTCGATGGAACAGGAGATGAAAGATCTTAAAGAGCTGGAGGAGACGGTGAATACAACGCCCTCGCGCTTCGACGCCTGTGAGGAGGAGGCAAAGAGCGGCGGAGGTGAGTCGATGTACCGCAAATGGGAAAGCGGAACAATCCGAGGACACTGCCACTGTTGCGCTATCAGCGCACCGATTAATATTATAGTTCAACCTTGATTCAAACTTCAACCCCGCCACCCACTCTACGATACAGATTCCCCGGGAGCAGTCTGTAGCTCCTTGATTTGGGTCTGAACCATGCACCTCATTGCCTATTCATTTTTTACATTTGGGGATTTGAGTTGAATTGGAAGTTCCGTGCATTGAAGTCAACCGCTATAGGCGCCTGGTGAATTAGATGCCTGTTTATTCTAGTGCTGAATTTTATTGAACAAGGCCCGGTAGTGGATGGTCCGCACCTTCGTCCGATATGAGTTCTTCATGTACTATCTGCAGGAGACGCCCGTTCGATTCGGGACCGGACCATAAATGACTGTCGTTCTTCTTTTTGATAGAGTCTATGACCCGAGTCCGAGTCGAACAGGTGGCTTCTAATCATCATTAGGATGAACAATCATCTGGTGCAGGTACGGACCATCCGCTACCGGGCTTTGTTTTGGTAGTTGTGGACTTGGATAAACGAGTGTATTTTTATTGCTTTCTGCACTGTCTAACATCAACTTGTTCTCATTAGAGCGAAAGAAAGCAAGAATGGAACACGGCTTAACGAGGCGAAGGTTCGGAGGTATTGTATTTGTAGTTGAACCTATTTGTAGTTGAACTCTCTTGAAGATCGGAGGCGGAAAATGCGAGTCGGGTATTTTCATATGGCGAGTCGGGAAGGAAGCATTATGGTGGCTGCCTCGATTCTATGAAGCATTATTGAAGGCTGAAAAGTGAACGGAAGTTCGGAGGCATGTCGTATTAACGTGATTCCGTTTTTTATCCACTCCTATCAGGACGTGATGGTTAGGAGATATAAGTTGCGACAACCATCACATTTGCTTTCCCGCGTCCCCGAAATGAATTGCATCGGGCCACCTTCATCGGCGCCATTGTCGTTCACAGGCTACTACCGGCCCGCGCGGGAGAAGACAGAGCGTTCACGGCAGGGTGACATAATCTGCAACACGGCGGGTGCCGGGCTGGCACTTCTCCCGTAAAACGTTTTATGCATCTCCACGTTTGATTATGTTTTCATCGCGCTCCATGGCATTTATGATGTGGCTCCTGGGAAGAACGAATCTAAAACCTGTCGCTATCGGAAAATAAGAATCAGAAATGTTCCATGATCGATACCAGAGAGTTGCAGTAACAGACGCATACTTAGTAATTTTCGGACCTCTAGGAGACTGGTATGCGGTTCTCTGAAGCAAGAAGTCCGAGCCGTGGGAGGTTCTTCGCACCAGCAACAATGCTGAATGCGCGAACGGGAACTGGACGCCGGTTCCAGTGTCATCAGACCTTCAGATGCGCCTCCGGAACGCGCGCAGTTAGAAATGAACGCCCGTTGTACTTCGTCGTGGAGAACTGCGTCATTAATAGCCATCCTGAATCGCGAGAGCATGGAGCTTCGAGTATTTTCTGCTCCTCTCAGCTAGCGTCCCGACACAAGAACGTGCGAGACCGTAAGCCCCAGCGACTATGGCCAAAGTGCCGACGCGGCAGGTGTCTTACAGAAAAGCATGATGATCGCGATATAAAACATTGGGCCACACTGGCTCGTGGTCTGAAGTCTGAGGAGCACCCAAGGATAGCTTTGGTTGATGTGTAATCGCCGTGAAAAACGGGAAATGGTCGAAAAGATCCCGGGCTTCTAGATTCATTAGTAAGGCACTGGATTCGAGTCGTTGGTTCCCAGGCTCAGCTCACTGGTCGGGATTGGTGGACGTTGGGTGGGCGTTGGGAACAAGTTGCGTGGGGCATCGGACGTAGTGGGCCGATCACAACACTCAAGTCCGATTTAGGAATTCAGGCGAGTGAACGAATTTTCCTTTTCGTAGAGTTACAAATTTATGGTCACTGGGGCCCTCACTGGGATAGGCTTCTACCCCTATAAGTCCACTTCGAATGTTTTTTGTTTTGTTTTTAGCCCAATTGTGTAAATATACTGGTCGGTGGTGTCATCACTGACATCTCCTGCATGCATGCGAGGAGATCCTTAACACAACGAGTTCTAGATAGCAGGTAAAAATAGGTACATACTTAAACCAATTTTAGCTCTGATACATCGCAGGCCCCAGTGTCTTCCTGCGCCAAATATGGTGCTACCTTGTTTCCTATATTAGCCTTGTCTATGAGGTGCCACGTTAGAATCTGGTCTTATGCAGAAGCTGGCCAACCAAAAAAACAGATGGCCGGTTGCGGCCTACGCCCCTCTCGCGTACTGATAAGTGTGAGATAACGTGTAATGGCAGTGTGAAAACTGCATTTGTGGGTGGTATACTGTTCAATTCGACAGGGGGTGTGATGCGTGACATCTGGAACATATTCGACACCCCAGGTTGGACCGTGACACCCCCAAAAATTCGACACCGTCCTAAATGGATGTAGGGGCATCCTAGAATCGTCTGAGACTTTCCGCGGAAGCACAGAGAGCCAGTCAGATTTTGGTTTGAAATATTTGCCTTGGGAATGATTTTCATGGCTTGTGTGTTGAGTTTGGGTCTATAGTTTAGGGCAATACAAAGCTAAAAATTAATTGAGGGCTCTGTAGAGGGCTCAGGAAGGGCAGAAAACGATATCCATGATTTTTGGAGGTCAAGAGCAGTGTTTTATTATTTTCTGAACCGTGGAACCTATTCGACAACTACCCCTGTGACGCGTGACAAAGAACCAAAGTTCGTATTCGACAACCCCCCCCCCCCCCTGTGACGCGTAACTGTCGAATTGAATAAAAAAATACAGTACCGTACATGCAGAAGATTTGGGTTTGGGCTAGCTAAGTCATGTCCACTTTTATCAAGTAAAGTTCAACGATGTCAACCCAAATTTGTTAGAAAATTCGCGATGTGGTCGAAAACGGACTGTTGGCCTGTATTCCTGTTCCCGTTCGCATCCGGGAACCCTGAGAATGATATAGCATAATGTTAGACGGGCATGTAAAACTGTATGGTTACTTGCAACCACAATCGCACAGGATATCCGTGCTATTCCACGATGTCCGGCGAGAGCAGCTGAGCTGGTAGAACCGCCCGCCCGCGGCACGATGTAACGTTCCGTGCTGGGTACGGATCAGTCTAACTTGCTTTTTACTGAACGGGACATGCAACGTGCCAAGCCGGTTGAAAAGTCGTTGGGATCCCCGGGAAGCTTTCCCACTTCCGGGTATCTTTGAGGGCTTGAATTCCCTTGGCGTGGGCGGATATTTAGGCTAGTGACCAGGACGAGCGCCGGAGAAATGCCACGAGACCGAAGGCCCAGCGCTGCAGGTGGTTCAACAATGGACCCACGGAGGTTGTCTTGAAACCACACCCAGCCCACAATTTTCACGTTGCGCAAATTGTTTGAATAGCCGGCGCCGTAACGAGCTTGTTTGAAA